ATATCACAAGAGTTAAAGTATGTTGAACCCAAGCTGCCTGGGTTAAATTTCCTGTGTGTTTCAGTTGTCCTAGCTGAACTTCAGTTCATTCTTTGAACTCTTGAGTCTGCAGAAGATGTAAAACTGTTTGACACTCATATCCCCTCTCTCTATCAATTTACTCTAGAAAGACTGGGAGCATTTGAAGACCTATGTTGGCTTCTGGCACAGAAGCAGCATCGTGGTTCAGTTTTACCACATGTGCAACTTTTGCTCTATTTGTGCATGCAAGTTTTTGTAGCTTCATGTCTTAAAATTACGCATATGGTATTGCAGTTCTATCTCTTGCATGCTCATTCAGTCACTTTGGGGGTTTCGTAGTAGAATGTTGTCATCTAAGTACTTGGGGGAGACATAGCTCTGAGAACTACATGTGGGACAACTGCTAGCACTACACCATCTGAAGATCTCCAGAATGACTCCTGCATTGGCAAGCTAGAAGTTTAGTTTCTGTTACTTCTCAGAACCACAAATCTTTTTCCCTTCTGCTTTTCCCATAGTTCACACAGTCATCCTTGCTACAGCTTTATAATATTATTAAAAATGCTTGTAAATGTAGACTTTCTGACAGATTTAATTTATTTAAAAAAAAAAAAAAGAGAGATTATGTAAATGGGAGATTAATGGATAATCTTCCTAGATGTTTCACCAGTAAAAAGTACAGTGGAGGGCCCAAAACTGGAATGTGCTATTTTAAAGTTTCTATCAGCCATTGTGATAGTTGATGGCTGAAACTGTCCTTCATTTTTATGTCTTAAGTCTTCCCATCCATTTTTCTTTAGAGCAGTACCGGGGCTTTGTTAGTGGCAGGTAGAATTCCAGCAAGTCAAAGTCTTCGGTCTTAAGAATAGAGTGGGAGTGGAATGCATTTATGCTGTAACAGAATAATAACATTTTCCTGAGAGAAATTGGAAGGGCTTGTTGAGACTTTCTTAAACACGTTTCTGTCAGAAGCTATGGAAAGGCATTGTATTTGTGCTTCAATATGCTAAATAAGAGCATTTTAGACTTAAGAATGTTATGTTTCACTTGATTAGCCTAATAGTTGCAACCTACAGTTATATGGTGCATTAGCTTTCAGTGCTGTATAAAAGGACTGGCAGCATGGTGTCCCAAAAACTGTAATTGCGTGGGCTGCTGAACAGTCGTAGAGAAAGCTGCACAAAAATTCTATTCTAGACAGAATTTTTTCATTTTGAAACGAATTTCACAACAAATTCACAGTTGGATGCCACTGCTTGTATTTCCAGTGAATCATACTCCAGAAAAGTAATACTTTGCTTCAACAAAGCCTACCACAAACAGTGCAGTGATATAAATCAGAAATTGGATATTTTTTAATTGTAATTTTTCAAAATATAGTATAGTTATTAACTATGCCTGCAGGTCCTGACATTCAGATATGTTTGGCTTTGTCTCCACATGCAAAAATTAAAATCCTTCACAAATAAGAAAGAAAGAAAGAAGGGCTGGGGGGAAATACCCTTTTTTCTTATGCTCTATTAATGATAGGATATGGACTCCTTGGCGGCAGTGGCTGTTGCAACACTGCATATTTAATAGCATAGTGAGAGCAAACCTGTTACACAGTTACTTTTAATTTCCAGCCTATGTTTACAGATGGTCAATTCATTTGTACCTTTCTTTCTCGTGCCAGTATTGTTCTTCAGCTTAGCTAGTTCTCCCTTCTCTCCCTGTCTGCTTCCACTTACTGGCATTTTTTGAGTGCAATTGCATCTTCTTTCCATTTTTGGTTTGTTTAGCTTACCAAGACAAGGTCTTTTAGATTACAAGATGCTGCAATTAAGGCAACTACAGTTTCATGTACATGGCCTGTCTGTAAACTGCATAGCTTTGCACGGTTTGTGATGAATTATCTACTCTTAAATTGCACAACCTGTCTAAGAAACGGAGGGAATACTTGATCTTCTGCTGAGCCCCCTGATCCTGTGGTCATGGCAGGACTGGACTTGCTATGAAAGGTCAGGAACACCTAAGCAGTGCTACTGGGATTGCACGAAATAATCTCCTTTAAGGTCTCAGGTCACCCCTTTGTCCTTGTGCGTGGTACAAGGATGCAAGATAAAATATGTCTGCTTATGCCCTTTCACTGAGGTTTAAGTTAACAATTTTACCTTACAGCTGGGATGGGCTAGCAATGTGGGATGGGTGGGGAATAAGGATTCTTCCTTAGAAACATCACCCTCTTACAACCCACACACTTTGGTCTCCATGCATTCTAGCTTTTCACTTGCCTCCTTCATGAGACTTCTTCCCATCTCAGCTGGCTGGCCTCCTCTTTGCAGGACACGCACGTGCCCTCTCTGTTTGACACAGCAGCCCCCTCCCTGCACTTTCATTATGGCTCCCCAGTTGTACCGGGGTTTGAGTGAGATGCTTCATTAGAGAACAATCAGGGCAAAGAAACGCTCCTTAGTGCCGAAGTGAAATTTTGATTGACATTTGATTGAACATACTGTGGCGGAGAAGGGAGACCGTCAAAGTCTTAAATCTTGCACAGCATTTGTGCAAAATTAAAAATACAGAGTTTCCACATGAAAGATCCTACCATCACAAGATGAGGCTGGTAGGCAGCCAAAAGATGAATATCAAATAGGTTTGCAGACCAAAATCAACATTTTGCACCCTAAGGTTAACTGCAAACCAGCTCCCAGGTTTGCTCTGTACCTCTTGATGTCGCTTGCATACCACCGTTTGGTGCCTGGTCAAGTCGTATTTTCTTGTTGAACGTGATACAAATTTTGTCTTCTGTGATATGAAGTCTGCAAAGGATTTAAAGTGGGGCACAGTGATGTAGAAGGAAAACAGTAGAAGAGGAAAAAGGAAGGGGGTGTTGCATTTCCACATATACCTGCAATCTTTTGGTGTGGTTCAAGTAGTGATGTGTAGCATTCTTACTTTGGTTTGCAGGTTACAGGGGAGGAGGAAAAAAAAGTCAGTTTCATTAAATTTATGGTGTTGCTCTGTTCCTCCATCCCTCCCTTCCTTGTTGTGAAAAATCACTAAGATAAGAAGAAATTATAAGCTTGTAACCTAGTATACTATGCTGTTTGACTTGTCATTGGTTTAGTTTAAATGGAAGGAGTGACTGAGATTTTTCAAGGAAAAGAATAAAGATAGCGAGAAAAGGCATTAGATGTTTTGGAATATGTGGAGAAAGGCTTGTATTTCTCATTAACTTTTTCAGTTATTTGCATCTTTTCCACAGTGAAAACAGAACATTCTTTCTGAAAAGGTCTTAATTATTTTGTATGTTCAGAAACCAAACTGCTTTTAGCAAGAGCAGTAAAATCTTTGATGCTGGCCTCTTCGCCATGAACTTTTGGAACACAGATTGTCTCGATACACAGGCCTAGGTGCAGAGCTCAGCTACGTCCTGACTGCACGTTGGAACAAGAGTCACTGTTCAACATCTCTCCTTCCGCTTTCCCCGAAGTACCCTGGCTTCCAAGAGGAGACCTGTGATGCCTCTGGGAAGCGCTCTCCGATCTAAACTCCAGGCTGCATGACATCCCTCAGTGTCGACCCAGGCAATGGAAGTGTTTGTACCTCATGCACGGGGGTCCTGTCGTCCTTTAGTCCGACTCTTGTCCATAATTGTCTAAGTAAGAAGAACAAGTGTCTGCTTTTTAGGTCTTGAGGCAAGTTGTGGGACCAATGGTTAAAAAAAGGAGCACAACTGAGATGGCAGTTGTGAGACACTTCTCTATTCTCCCATAGAATAACTCATTATCTCCGGTAACTCCTTTTAAAGCTATTTTTTGTAGCAAGATTAAGTTGCCACGTTGGTGTTATCTGAGGAAGGGTGGAGCAAGTAAGATGAACTGATTGAAGGATGACTGAAATTTTTGTAACAGCAGCATTAATCACATTGTGATCTCTGAGCTTCATGGTCTCACCAGTCTTTGTCCACGATACTGATCTTTTACTATCGATTGAATATAACAAAGGAAGTGATGGGGTCATTGTGCTTTCTCTGATTCATGCTAGAATAATTGAAGTCAGATGTTGAGGTCATGTGGATCCATAACCCTCTCTTATTACTTTGTGTGCGCTTCCAATATTTATGCATACTTTAATGAGTTAAATGCTTTCTAATTTGCCTTTGCCTACAAAGTAAAGTGCCCAGAAAAGCAAATGGGGCGATTTTAGATTTTTGCCTGTTTTACATCTTACACAAGTGGAGTCCAGGTCTGGGAAGTTACTCCAGAGTTACAGCAGCGTAAGGGACTAAGAGCCTGTCCTAATTAAAGCCTACCCTGCTGGATATCCTTCTGTTTAGAATTTCCTTTTTAGTATAAACTGACAAACATTTCATATGCTTGGTAAATAAAATACTTATTTGACTTCTCCACCCTCCCCAAGAGGAAATTTCTGGTAAGGCATGACATCTCCCATAAACTGCCATGAGTAATATCTTCTGAACCACTTTCAGAGAAATGAGAGTTCTTGCTATTTCTATCTATAATAATAATTTACAGTCAGAGAAGCTGATAAAGTAGCAAGATCTTCTTGAAGACTGTTGTACGAACAAAACCCCTTGTCTTCTCTGTTTCTGTAGAACTTACTCAGCTGTAGTTCATGTTCTGTGCCATGGTATGTATGATGTATGCAAGACATCTAGAATTTATTTTTTAATAATGCTAGGTTTTTATTAAATTGCGAAGTTGGTGAAATGAGGTTGCCAGAGAAGAAGAATACTGAAACAGGAACCTGCTGGCTTTTTTAACCTTTTGGTGTAAGGAAATGTGCCTTTCTCCATTTGGTTTGAAAAAGGAAATAGAGTAGTGGTGTGGCTATGGAACTTTCTCTTTCTGCCTCTGATTGCAGCAGTGCTAGTGAAAGAATGAAAAGAAAAAGTAGAGTATTGAACAGTAGAATATGATGGCTTTGAAGCAACAGAATGAAAGTAATTAATTACCCTGTTTGTTTTGTTTCAGGTGTCAGAAACTATTTGAAAGAAGCACTAGTGAATATCATTGCTGTGCATGCAGAGGTGAGAAAAACTTCAGATTGTTTCATGCTTACGTTCATATCAATAATTTCAGTGTACTTTGTGTGGTAAATCCTGTCTTTCATCACCCCTGAAAATTGTACCTATGTTGAAGTGTGTTCATTATAGATGTAAGTGCTTTGGGTTAGGTTTAGCCAACCAAGTATACAACTGCTAACTTTTTTGAGGGCAGAAGGAGATGAGCGGTTCCTATTTATCCTCACTAACATTCCATTACACCTTTTTGTTTCCACTATCTGATGAAAAGGAAAGCCAAAGTCTAAAGCTCAATTCTTCCCTTTTCATGCAGATTAAAAATATATAGAGAGATATATAGACAGATATGGTGCTCACTTTCTCTGATTAACGTTATTTTCCACAACACATGAAAATGAGTTGTGCTTTGCTTTGGAAGAAATTTTCAACATATGCCACTCGGAGTGAAAAGGCAATAAATGTAATTCTTGCACCTTGGAAAATGGAAGCCTAATACCAGAAAGTTTTGTAGTCTCTGTACAGCACAAATTGTGTTTGAAATACTTAGGTAGGTACTGGCTCATGATAGGGAGTTCATATCAAAATTAAAATATTATTATTAATATGCTTGCAGAGCTGCAGTTATTGGGCCTTTTGTGATAATATGCAGGAATTTTCTGTAGTCCTTTAAATTACAGCCTCTGTTCTACATACTCTTTTCTTCTAATCATCAAGAGTGTTACTAGGTTACTGTTGCTCCTGCTACAAGCATTGGTAGTAATATCACTCTTACATTTCAGAATACCACAAGTACAGCTTCTCCACCTTGTCGATCTGACATCAAATCTGATGAGATTCAGTTGAGGTTTTTGTTTATTTTATTCCTCCTTGAATTACAAGAAGTCATATAAATTAAAATATTTTCAGATACATTAAATATCACTTGCAGTATTTTTGATTCCATTTTGGTATTATAGCATTTTTCACAGAAGCATTTCTGATTTTACCAAATGCTTCCAAATGAGGGAATAAGCAACACCAAAAATCTATACCAACATGATACTGATTTTTAATGATGTTTTTCAGTGTAGTGGAAATTCATAAAAAATGAAAATGAGAAATCTTGCTTTAAAGAATTCAAAGGCATTGGTGACTTATTGAGCTAATCCTATAAACATGCATACTCATTAAAATGCTGCTGCAGAAAGGTACATTGCCTTGCTGACTTCATTGAGACCGATACTGATTTTGGCCTAAATAGTGTTGTCTCATAAATTTCTAGATGTGAAGTATAACAGAAATATGAAAATGTGTGTCAAGATGAAACTCCAATTTCCACTATTTTCTAGCGAAATTCTGTAAGCTGGGTCAGATTTAAGTGTAGTTAGCAGGGCTGCAAGTTTCTGTAGTTTGAAACAGCGAAAATTAACCATCAGCTGAACAACGAGCATAGACTGAAGTGGAAAACAAATTCTTTCTCTACTTTTGAATTCAAATTTAACTGAAATCAAAATAAGGGCTTCTTGTTGCAAATTTGTGATGATTCACCATTGCTGAGAAATTTTTTTCCTGGATTCTGCATAGTAACTTCAAGAATGCTTGTTGTGGGCACAGATATGCTCTTCTCAGTAGAAGATTTTTGGGTGTGTTCCTGGTATGTTTGTGTTGAATTGCTCACAATATTTGCTGCTGAATAAGATGACCCCTTCCCAAATCATTACCCTTTTTTTTTTTTTCTTAACATACAGCTAAGTATGTCACTGACTTAGCTTTTCTGGGTTAAAACAGGCTGTGTGTTTGAATTAGCAATGATAACAGCTGATGGCTGACATATATATGTGGCTAGTGTACTTATCCTATGGTACAGACCTGCCTTTTGGAATGGTCAGCTCTATGGGATCCCTGATACATAATTCATTACTTAAATCACTGAAAACTGTGTAAGAATCTTGCATTCTCCCCCACCTCCCCCTTTTACTTGTACACACGTGTATTAATATCTTCTGTCAATTACTACATTTCCTTGTCAGACGTGAAATCTAAATTTCACATAAAGAAAAGGTATTCTAGAAAAAATAATTTAACTGCTTGATTTTTTTTAGATCATTTTAAAGGAGAAATCAGGGCCGGGGGGGGGAAGAGGGAAGTGTTTAAAAACTCTGTGCAGTTCATTTTCCTTCTTGGACCACTCTAGTCCCATCATCTTCAGTTCCTTGTGTCATCTTCTCCCCCCAGCCTTGTGCCGCTTTATCATCACCTTTAAGTCTTGACACAAGTTTGGTCTGTCTAACCTATCATCTCACTTCCTCCTAAATTCCAACCTCTTGGCTTGCATTTTTCCTAATTCTGTGTAGAAAAATAATACTTTTTTTTTTTTTTTTAATTCACCAACAATTTCTCGCTTCCTTATAGCTCCCTTTAAGGAAGATTGGTTTCTTCACGCTTTCCTTCAGGCATAGATCTAATGTTTAATTTTGTGCTGCTGTTGTGTTGCAGTTACTATTCTGAACCTCAAATGGAGGATCTGAGTACAGCTTTTAAAAGTTTTACAAATAAGCTGTTAAAAAGATGGTCTTGATGCATGGAAAAAACAGTAACACGTCATGTTTTTGCCAGGGAACTAGTAAAGGGCAGTGGTGGAAGAATCTAAATGAAAATCCGTTACACCACCATACTCTCAAACCCTTTCAAAGACTTGTCTCTGCCACAGAGCATAAAGACATTAGCAATTTGACAGTGGTCAAATGTGACGGATTCTAGAAGAAATAGCAAAATATGTGAGTAAAAAGTGTCTGAATGTGTAATTGGGACAGTCAGTCACACAACTCTGAATTAAAGGTGATATCTGCAAAACAGCAGTCTATGTGTTACCCCCTGATTACCTGCATCCATCAGCCAAGAGCACATATTTTTAAGTCTAGCTGGTTTTAGGCTTTGCAAGAAAGTTGTCATTATCACATAGCATATAGCTAACATTGCTGTTGACAGAGTTGATTGGTCAAAGCGCAGGGCAAGCATCAAAAGAAGTCCTTTGTATTCCAGTTGCTTTGAAATTTTTTGCCCATTGATAAACATGAAATGGTCCTTTCAATCAATATGTTGAATGCTGTTTACTGAAATGTTACTGTAGAAAGTATTTCTATTAACATAGGTATTGTGCTCATGATTCTTCTTTCATAAAAATCAGGTGTTTACCATTTCCAAAGACTTAGTTCCTCGGGTAATGTCAAGGGTTGTAGAAGCAGTCTCTGAAGAACTGAGTCGACTGATGCAGTGTGTTTCATCCTTCAGCAAAAATGGAGCTTTACAGGTAGCTGAATACTTCGTACTGTCAAACATCTGAATATAGAAAACTGAGAATAACAGAGAGAGGTATAATCTGAGTATTTGTTGGATATATTGTAGCAGTGAATGCAAGGAGATAAAAAGGATTAGTGTACAACCTATTTCAGATTTATGGATTAATACCCTTTGGGATACTGGTTCTTGGGTTTGATTATACGTTAGTGTTGTCTTTGCATCTAAGTGCATGAGTTACCTACATCCTATGAGATAAAAAGCATCATAATGGTATCTGTTGAAATTACATTAAATACTGTCTTTGGCCTGTCTTCAAAAATTATTTTAAAAGAAAAAACAATTTTGTGATATTTTGAGATTTACAAATCTTGAAAATATGATGTGGTAGAATTTTGCAAGTCTTTGCAAAACTAGTCCCTGGGCTGTTATACTATTTTTACATCAGCACTTTGTTGCAGCATGGGTAGAATAGATACTCTTACACTCCCTTGTTTACTTACATCTGGATTGGTAGTTGCAGTTACTATTGGATAGGTTTTAAAGGACTCGAAGAAAAAATTATTTTAAAGAAAAATGTCTTTGAGTCAGTGATTGCTATGGCTAGTAACAGGCAAGAAGAGCAAACTCACAATTTTTGTTTTACATTACAGCATTCTTGCATTATGATGGGAAAATAATTATTGAATTACAAGCCTTATTTTCCAATTGCCGGTAATAATTGCATTATACAGAGAATTAATGTAGGAAGATTACAACCAGATAAGATTGCCTATTTAAAACTAAATCAATGAATAGCAACAAAGCTACCTGTATATCATTTTTGTTTGACTAGAGAACTCACTGTGTGAACTTGCTGCCTAAACCCATAGCTGAAAGGATTTTCTCCCCCTTCTGTAAATTTGTCACTCATGGCCATTTTCTGTTCCTCTGAACATAGAAAATCCTGTCTGGCAGACAGCAGCAGTGTAGGAGGGATCTGAGCCTGGTTAGATTGATAAAAAAATGCCTATTGATGAAGAGAAGCCTGAATCTGTGTTCCCACACCCCATGACCCACAGTTTTGCAGGGTTTACCCTTCCACCATGTTTATTTAGGCTGTAGTACTTGAGAATGTGACACTCCCCCCATGTTACTGCTGCCTCCTGAAATGTGGGAAAGACTTCAGAATCTGATGTGTAGGACTTCAAAAAGTCCAAGGCTGTTCAGCTTGAAGCACCATACAAAACGAGGTGAAACATTCTGTGGTGAGAAAAGGGTTTCTTGAGAGTATAGAATTGATGGGTGGCTATGTCGTATTTTGTGCCAGAAAGTTCTGGCACTAAAAAAACATAAATCTCCACTGGCTTCCTACCTAGGGGGAGAGGGGAGGGGAAGACCCAAAAGCCAAAGCCTTTCATTGGAACTGACATTAGATGTTTGTGTTGCATTATAAAAAGTTTTGCTTTGAAAGATTAATGTCAAGTTAGTAAGGTCTAAATGTAGGTGAGTTTCTGTAATGGCTAGCTGGATTAAATTTTGTCATTATGATGAACAAGAATGGAATATGAATTTCGGTGAAGTTCACTTTATATTTTTAAATTAAATGACTTATTGATCACATGCAGAACATTTGTTTCGTATAAAACCTGTGATTATAATGATTGCTTTTCAAAGACTAAAGGACAATCCATGAAATTTGTTTAATCTTTGAGTTCATTCTCTATAGTTTGCCTAGGTGAAAATCAATACCTAGACACACAGTATGGTGCAGCAGTAAAATCTCCAAGCTTGTGTGCCCACCATATGACAGACAAGAAGCAGAGCACAACCATTCTGGTTCCTCATCTGATGGAAAAAAATAAATTCAACAGGAAAACCAAGAATAAAATGTGTATTGACAGACTTCTGTGCTCTTCTTGTACCTTCTTGTTTCCTTCCTTCCTGGCCAGCCCTGCTGTGAGACGTTAAGCTCACTGTATTTGAAAAAAAAAAAAAAAAAGACAGACAAATTAAGATGGCATCCTTCTGTCTTCCTTTCCCAGTATAGAAGAGATGGAACAGAATTGAAGATTTGTTACTGAGAGACAAACGAATGTTTTTAGACTTGCTGCATAGTGACCATACAAACAGTTTGACTTGAATCAAAAGTATGAAATTGTTCCTTTTAGCAGTCTCCTGACATAGCAGCGTGGCAACCAGAAATACAGGAAACAAACTGTTAAAAGCCAAGGCTGCTTACAACTGCAGCGTGCAATAATATTTGCCTCTAAAAAAGATGAAACTTTGGGATACTGGTATTCACTTGATGAAAGGACATTGTGTCGTTGTTTCAATATTTTTATTTCTGTCTTTAGGCAAGACTTGAAATCTGTGCATTGAGAGATACCGTGGCCATATACCTAACACCTGAAAGCAAGTAAGATGTGCTGTAATGTCTGTTTTTTCAATGCAATGGAATGCTTGGTAAACATAAAAAAAACCACAATGTAAATTAAGGATTAAGAAATTTTTTTTCAAGTAGAATATATGATATACTAGGTAAATATATGAAAAACAGATTATCAACAAGGTTTTATCAGTTGAAAGAAAATCACTTTTTTTAACTTGAATTTTTAGACACAAACTAGTATTTGCCACTCAAGAAAAAAAAAGTAAAACTTATTAACAGCAGTGCAGCTGTTGATGAAAATGTGGCTAAAACAAGACAAAAGCAGATGTCACTGAGTTTTATCCAGTTTTTCACAGCAACCTTATAACACACACGGCAAAGAACCTGCCAAACACATCTGAGAGGCTACAGAACCAGACACTGGCATGATCCCCTTACGGGGTTATGGAGAATTAGGGATCTCCACAAGCTTGTACAATACCCTACTGCTTTTCCATACACCTAATCAGGGAAAACAAATTCAGCTTCACACTGTCCCTTGCAATGAAAGCCTTCAAAAGGCTTTCAGCAATGTATCATTTTTCAGTGAGGTGCAAGACCAAAGATAAATAATGTGGGACACACTCACACATTAATATAAAGGGAGAAATAAAAACATTAGCAGCATCAGTGGTTGATGCAGTCAAGGCATGCAAAAACAGACTGGGATAGCTGTCAGCAGTTTTGAGTAAAGTTTGATTGATGGAAATTTCTAGGTGATTGTGTTAGGGATTGGATATGAGCAGGTTAATTCATTATTTTAATTACCTACCCTTCTGTTAGGATTGGCATTATATGTTCCCACAGATAGCAATTTGGTCATCTTACCTAATCAACATTTTGTAGGAGAAGTTGCAGGGCTTGAGAGCCTAATGTGTCTTCATAGTGACACAGATAGTGTCCTATGGTGTCACTACATTCCATTCCAAAAGACTGCTTTCCTGTTCTGAGTGCCTGATAGTGATGAAGACCTGTAAATGAAAACTACTTGGCACTGGCTCAAATTGGTTAAAAATGAAGTGGAATTGTCTCTCATCACCGTAGGGGTGAAGCGCAGTAAACCCTGAAAGCTGGAGCTTCACTGATGCCTTTTTATTCCTGAACTTGTCACTAGTAGTAGTTGTCAGAAGTCACCATATAAATATTTTGCTGAGAAGATTGTACCTATCTGTTCAGGTCCTGCATCGTTCTCTGCACTTCTATTCCACTTCTGTTACCCAGAGAGGGGTGGAAACCCATCTTTGGAGTTACTCCAAACTTGACTGGATAATGCCCCAAGAAACCTCTAGTAACCTCAAAACTGGCCCTACTTTGAGAGGGAGGTTGGACCTGAAGACCTCCAGAGGTCCCTTCCAACCTAAATTATTCTCTCAATCTGTATTACCTTAATGCACACCTACTGTAATTCTCTCTGTAGGCTCCCTTCTGTAGGGGAGAACACAGTGACCTGTCTACTGAGGACAGAAAGCCAAAATCAGTGTTTTATCTGTGCTTCATTCTCTGACGGTTAAGTGACAGTTAAGTTAAGTGGTTAAGTTCGAGGCAGAAGGCAGGCTGGCAACTATCTGTAATTCTTGAAGAGCCCAGGGTGTCAAGCACAGTCTTAAATCAGCTGCTGATTTAATATTTCCTGTTGATGTATGTTGTACATCACACTAGGAGTGTCAAGAGACTGGCTTGAACCCATGACCACTTTATGTTCTGTTTGCTCTTGAACGTCAGGTGTCAAGTTAATATTTTGTTAATTTATTGAAATAAGAAAGGATAAAACGTAGCATATCTCCATGGAATTTATAGAGAGAAACTGTGAATGCTGAGACATACCTGTGGAATATGAGTATTTTTGTTTTCCTTGTAGCTCGAGCTTTAAGCAAGCTTTGGAAGCCTTGCCTCAGCTCTCAAGTGGGACTGACAAAAAGTGAGTATAATGCACCTTCTTGTCTCCTTTCTGGTCTCTGGAGCCATTGCTTTTTACTCTTGTGTCAGAACTTTGTTATAAGAGAGTCAGCGTTCACTGTATTTGACCTTTCTGAATTACAGAGCAGAAGCCTTTTTGGACAGAGTTAAGAATAAGCTAAGTCCTTGTTCATCATGGCCTTTTAAATTACACAGAAGAGCCAATGGCTTTGTGGCATATCCCTCTTGCCCATCCTAGTTTTATCAGTTCAATGTAGCTTTGTGTTTATTTTGTAATTTCAGTCTATTTTAGCCTTCCTTGTTAATCGTAAAGTTTCTGTGAAGCCCATTCTCTTGTCTTACTGAATTTAGCAGCAATAAAAAAAAATGGCCAAGGAACAAATTCCAGGCTTTTGCCGGTTGATATATGGGGAACTCTCAAAACTGACCTGTTTCATTTTAAAAACAAATAAGAAGGGTCTGTGGTTCTTTCTTAACATCAGGAGGAGGAGTTTTGAATTCCTCCTTCCTCACCGTAGCAACCTTTGACAACCAAGCTGCTTTGCTGCATCATTCAGCCTAGTATTTGGTAGTCTGTTTTACAAGCATAACTTAATAAAGAGTAGTATCGTAAAACTAGTATGTATTTGTAATGAGTATATTAGTGTAAGTAAAGATGTTTTGAACTTGAGAGTGATATTATGGTACTTTCAGAAACTGAGCTGCATCAAATCAGTTTGCACTTAACAGTCAGAATTTAGAATATTTTGTAGACACATGAAGAGACGTTTGTGCAGCCTCTGGTCTGCGGACTGTGCTTTCTTCCAGATGTCCTCTGTCTATTCAAACCTACTTCTCATGAGACACAAGTCTCAAGATACCTCCTTGCCTTACTTAGCTCTTATGCTTTATTAAAGACAGGAATCAGTTTTGAGTAAGGAGAGTTCTTTCAACTCAGACTTTCCGAAACACCTGTAAAATTATTTTTTTTTCGCTTAGTCACAAGCATTTGAGCTTCATAGGACAGTTGAGAATCAAGAACTGCATCATTTTTACATTTGCCTCGGAGTTCTGAGCCCTAGACAGCGCAAAACTTGTTCTGTTTCCCAGATCATTACACCATAATTGTCATTGTTTCAGGCAGATCATTGTAATGTACATAGCACACATTTGTGCACTGATTTAGAGCTGTTCATATCGGCTCATTCAGTCATTACTATGATACTAAGTGATGAATGTGGCCATAGTCATACCTACTGAGGAAGCAGATATTGATTTTGTGGTTCAAGTTGTTCTTCTTGGGTTGTTTGGGTTTTTTTAACATACAGTATAATTTCTTCTATTACTGCCTGTTCAATAATCACAGCTTGCCAAAAAGTTGAGGTGATACATGTCTGCCCTATCTAGCTTGTTTTTGAAATAAATCAAAAAGCTCAGAGAACACATTCTTCCCTAGGATACAAGGAAAATAAAACACACAGGCAAGGCTGTAAAACTTCATAATGCATCTCCACTGTTACAATAAATATCTCTTACAACAGAGCCATCAACACCCTTGGTTCTACACCTGTAGTTTGTGGATTATAATAAATATTGTTCCCTGCACCAAATAGCTTCTTGGCAGCTATGCAGATGTAAATGAACCATTGTTATGTTCCAAAATGAACTCATACATAGTTTGTTATATGAAGGACAAAAACACATGGTTGCCAGTGAATTAATGTTTCTCTTAGAACAGTCGTACTATCTCTGATCTTTCAGCCATGATACTCAAGAGAAATCTACGAAATACCTTCCAAAGACAAGTCTGAGAACTGAAATTTGCAATTCAGCTACACACAGAAAGCCGTAGCCTTGATAAGGTTTTATTTCACATAGTCTGTCAGTTTCTGAATTTCCCTTACAGAAATACCTTATGATGCTCTCTGCCAGTCCTTTGCCACTGTGTTTTGCAAATATGTTTCTATCAAGGAGATTATTTTTATCTGGAGGAAAGCCATATAAAGGGTTATTTTTTCACCTTGATAAAATCTCTGTGGCTACGTCCTCCTCTGGACACAGATCATCCTGACACTCTTGGTATACTTCTGAATATCTACAATATTCATATATTTGAACAGATCCAATTTTAGGCCCTTCATTTAAGCAGACAATGTACTTGAAGTCAGAGACAGAACAGCCAAAACTTTCGGTGATTGTTCAGTTTTCAGAATCTGCCAAAGTTGTAACTGTTTTCTTTTTACAGGTTACTAGAAGAGTTACTAAACAAATTTAAAAGCAGCATGCACTTGCAGCTAACCTGTTTTCAAGCTTCTTCGTCAACAATGATGAAAACATAGACAAGGACATCATGCAGGCAACTCAAAAGACAAATGTGCTTAAATGTCGCCCATTTTTTCTGTGCTACTTCAATTCCTTTGAAGACTCTGAAGAAAACAAAAGGAATTTCACTAAAAAGAAATTATGAGCTACAACTCCTTGAGTAATGGTATATGCTGAGTGAGACTTCTGGTCATAAATATCTTGATAAAATTGTTTTCTGTCTACTGTATTTCATTTTGTGGAGGGGATTAGGCCAATTTTATTTACATACACTCTTCTTGGCTGTATGTTCATGAAGAAATATTCATTGGTGTGCTCTGGGTCATTTGTTAAAAATACAAATGTCACCCTAAATTTGAGTATTACTCACGTTGTTCAGTGTATTAATCTGTTACTTTCTTGATGTAGACTGATACTGATGTAAGTGACTGGAAGACTCAACTTCTATAAACGGTTGAGAAGTATGTAATGAACATTACTCCATACAGCTGACTAATAAGTGTTCAGATACAATATGGAGAAGGACACTGCTTCTTTTGCATTTACAAATTTTCACCTTTTTTTTTTTCTGTTATCATCTACTTTTAGTGGTCGTAAGTCTGATTTCTTGGCAGGCTTTTATTTTCTTGCTTCTTTTTTAATTGAACATGTTTGTGCCTCTTTTGTTTCTCCCTTCTGTTGGAATATTGATGATAACCTTCACATTTGAAATAAGCTCTCCTTTCATTGGCAATTAACAGAAAAGCATTCCAAGTTCATAAGATTAGTAGAAGTTTTTTTTTTTAAAGGCTGTTCAAGTAAAATATTCTTTGGTGTTAAGGAGTAGAATAATTAATAGCCTCTCGCATAGTTAGAAGTAAGGGAGAGCACAGTAAGCCATTGGTTTTGCTGCTTCCTTCTTACTCTTCCTGTTTTTTCTTGTTCTTACAAGCTTACTGCCACTGTCTTCCTCTTCCCTCTTGTTAGTCCTCTTTTTGCCACCAGTTATTGAATTTGTGTGGAAGGGAACAGGGATTCAGGAGGAAAGAACGATTTTGCTGCCATTAAGATATAGTTACACAAAGGTAAAGAACTGTCTTCCCAAGAGGGGAGATTTGATGCTGACTTTCATTTTGGCACTTGATGTAAGATGCAGGAAGCTATAATGAGAGACCAGCTAATAAAAAGTGGTCTTGTTTTGGGGGGTGAGGGCTGGGTTTAATTTTGTAACTGAAATCATGACTCACAAGTAAATTATGCAGTAGTAATGTATTTTTCTGTATTTACAGTCATTTTGAGTGGGACTTTTCAGAAATAGTGCACTGAGTTTTCAAACAATGCTTTAAAAATACAGCATACCGTTGCTGTAATGTGAAGTACTGAAGAAACAGCTTGATGCACATGTATTTACTTGTTAAAAAAAAAAAAAAAATGTGTGAGTAGTAATAGCATGTTGAATGGAAGTTTGAAACTTCACATGTGTGTCATTATTGGCTTTCAGGGAGAATCGTTAAACACCTGGAGCAATATTGTTTTATTAAATGTTATCCATTCTAAGCTGGTCATAGTCTCAGCTGCTGGTATTAGTTGAAATAGTCATCCAGTTAGCTTAATCTGTAAAGGATTTTGGTTTAGAATAATAAAATATTAAGAAAGATGGTCATAAGCTCTTCTTGAATTTCCCACTTTCCAAGAAATGTGATTTCTTTATGAATTTTGCCAGAGTCTATGTTTTCTACATTTGTATCAGACATGTTCCTAGGTATTGAAAACATATTTTGTTATCTGTACTGAATTGATATGTATTCAGTCATCTCCTTATTATAACATCATTCTCTTATTCATCTTCTGTTACAACAGCTTGTTGCTTGTCTTTAAAAACCTGAAGTCAGATGCTTGTGTTTAGTTGCCTTTCTGAAGTAGCACTTCAGAACATGTCATTAATAGTAAACGAGAATAATGTGTAAGGGATGAAAATATTACTTGGATTCAACCTGATATGAAATAAATGCTCACAGTCAAGTCAGAGCACTGGATTTCAATAAATCTAATTGGTGGAATTAGGGAAGTCAGTGGGCATCATGCCTCAACAGGATGTACTGGAATTCCTTTGTGTAGAAGGAGATTTGGGGCTGCTGAGACTTCATGGCCAACATACAGCAAGCTGCAGTTCCTCTGAGAAGAAGATTACAAAAAAACAAGAAGTGGTCAGTGTGGTTTGTCAAAAAAAATAGTTCAAAGATACAGTGAGGTTTAAAAAATATTATTGGAAATGGAAAAAGGTGGGGAGACATCACCAAAATACACAATCAGTTAGGGCTTGCAGAGAAAAGCGAGGCAGTAAGGAAATCAAAGTAAGAGAAGTGAAAGGCTCTGACATTTAAAGGGAAGGTAAATGCTGAAAACAGTACAAGAGGAAAAAGTGAATTATTACATGAACTCTGAACCTCTAAAAAAATCTAAAATCAATACAAACTGGTAAAAAATATCTGGAGAGGTTTATTTCTTATTTAGAGAAAAAGTAACAAGGTTGTTAAGTATATCTTGCTAAAAGTTTATGAAGTGTGCTGATAGTGCATCATTGTCTAAGTTAAGCACCTTCCTTTAACTTTTCAAAAGCACTTGGAGAGTTTAAAAATACAAAAAGAACTCTAGTCCTAAGTCTCATGCATGTGCTGAATTTCAAGCGTATGAATGGGCATGAGACTGCTTGCACAGAAAATCTCCTTCAAATGTTTAGCACATGTGCCTGTCTTTTGAGAATCAGGGAAGTTGTATGCCATGGGCTAAACCCCTTGCGTCTTCCTTTAGTTGCATAAAAAGGCCAGGACTTCAACCAGTTGAACTTCCTTCTCTGTTGCCGTACAGTGAAATGAGAATTCGGTGCTGCGAGCGCTGCAGAGGTACGCTTTGTAGGGGCACTTCTGGCTGTAGCCGTAATGGGCGACTGTTGGCTTGTGGAAGTAGGTCCAGGTTCCCAGCCTTTGCCAAAGCTGAAGACAGAGTGTTTTACATTGAACGTGAGATTATTTTGTTTCCTACATGGCCAGTCTTTTGCCATCCAGAAATATGGAAACATTTCTGAAGTAATAGCAAGTTTCTCTGGGTGTATTTGCCAGTAGAGAGATGAGGATAGAACAGAGCCATGAAGATTTATGTAATATCATACAGAGCATGGAGCTGAAAAAAAGATAAATTTGTTATTGTTTATTCTGATTCTACTTTAGTTAAAAATACTTACATATGTTCAGAAAAAAAGAAGGAATAAGAATTGATTGTTGATATAAAGGAAGGTGTAATGGCAATTAATGTTTAAAAAAATATAGAAGAATTTCATGGAGCTCTTTGCAGAAAGTCCCTCACCTGCAAACAGCTAACATTTAGCTAGGCAAAGCCCTAGGAAATACACCATAAAAAATATTCACAAATTTAGCTCCTTTTTAATTTCAAATGTAGTGATAGGCATTTTCTGTTTCTAATCCAAGAGAAGGGAGAAAATTGCAATTTCCTAGATATGATTTTGGCCATGTGAAGAACAAAACATAGCGACAAGAATCTTTTGCCATGGTTACACACAATCACCGGAGACAATGCTACACGGGGGATTTATGCTTTCATGCCTGCTGCCAGATTGTGTTTAAGTCAACTCCAGACAATTTCTTTGGACCTGTCCTGCTAAAATACACTTTAAGTGCTGCAGTTTTTCCTGAGAATATTAGTTGATACAATCAATATTGATTGTATTGGTGGATGCAAATACTGATTTTTTTGTGTGTCCAAATAGGTGTCCAGACTCCTGCTAGCAATGAGGGGTTTTACATGTTTTGCACACTGTAAGCATACTGCTATTTCACTCTTTTCAGTGGATAATATTTCTAAAACTTAGAAGTAAAAGATTCCTAGTCTTATCAGGATACACTGAAACTGAAAAATGAATGCAGTGCTCCTGCTGATTCAAAGTTCAGATCTGGACCTTTATCCTCGTAAAGCTTTGGCTCTGATAGACTGGAAGCATCTTATCCTGGGACAGAAAGAGGGACCCCTGAGGTTCACAGCATCAGCAGTCTCTTTCTGACCATGAGGAGCTGTAGTTCCTACATGGCACTTCAAATTTTAGCGTCTGTCAGGAGTTAGTAGTAGGCTGTGACTACTGTCAAAACAGGCAACAGCACATGCATTATTTAACTAGTAAAACACAAAATAAGTTTTGAATTAGTCAGGCTTCCAGGTAGGTTGGAAGTATCTGGGGATTTGTTAAATGCAGTGATGGACTTGGAAGTGGGTTTCAGTCCTAAGTCTTTTGGCATTTCTGGCCTAGCTGTGTACCTGGAGGAATTCTGTGTGACAACCAGCATCCAAAAAAAAAAGGAAATAAAAATCATTGTGACTTGTAAACTTGTTTAAAAGATTTTTAGGGAAGAGTCTAGTGGTTTTTACAATTCGTAGAATCATAGGAAATTCAAGGAAAAAATAAAAATTCTTGCTCAAACATTCATCGCTACTTACATTCCAGCCTGTCCCTCTACTGATAAAGAGATGGTTCCATTCACCTGCTAAATCCTTGTTAGCAGTTTTCTGCTGCATTGGATGCAAGTGTCAAGCGTGCACATGTTAGGATGTTTGTAGAGTTAAGACTGCTTCTGCACTGTTAACACATGACACTGTTTAACATTGGTAAAGGAAGACATTTTAAAAAAATGCTAGATGGTTAATTATAGGCAAATATAATTTTGCACAATCTGTGTTACGTGGAGTATTTTGGCCTCGTGGTTGACAGCTTGTTTTCCGACTTTGCAGTACCTGCTAGAGTTTTTGGCATGAAATAAAAGGGGAAACTGGGAATACCAGGGAACACAGTTTCTTTAGGGAACATGATACCCATTTCTGTCTTCACCTTTTTTAAGTTCTGTTTTTATGTAATGCTACCATAGGTTAGAGGGTTTTGCACAATTCAGTGTTCTTTCTCTTTGTGTGTTTGGGCTTCAGAGCTCTAAAAGCTTGTCTTTAATTAAGACACTAAGAGAGCATGTCCAAAGTG